ATTGCCTTGACAAGTATATGAGTGACCAGATTGCTCGAAATGTATAGCGCAGATAAATAACATTGCTCAGATCAATCTCACTTTAATACAGTTCGATCTAAGTTGGAATGACTGTGATATCTGTTGAAGACCTCAGCAAATCCAACACTTACAACTGTAACCCCATTCACGGTGGGAAATCCTTGGCGACTCTAGAGAACATGCACCCTATATACATGACTGCCTGGATCGCAGAACGTATCAAGCGCGTCCCAATTGACTTTGCCCAACAAATTCGCTATTGATCTCGGCAAATCGCCAGAAGAACCTATTGTGCACCTTCCTTATTTGAACTCTACTATTGAAAATGATGCTGTGTTATACTGTTTCTGTCAGTGACATGGTGTAAATATGCAATCAGAAACTGACTCTTATACTTAATTTAACTGCTATAACCTTCATTGTAGTTCGCGAACGCCTAACCATCTGACCACTGTGCCGGCATTGATGAAGGTCCTTGGCTCGAATCCTGCGAGGTGCAGGAGTCGTGGATGCGCACTGCTGATGAGTCCTATACCAGGACGAGAAGGCCGTTCAGTGCTTCCAGGTTTCTAATGGTGGTCTTAAAATGATTGATTAATGATCTCAAATTTGTATTGAAATTCACTAAGGTCATGGGTAGAATATAGGGTCTTGATGTCAACCTATATGAATAGTGTCATTTAGTCCTGTCACAGCTACTGATAAATCAGTCCTGGCATCTTAAGTTCTAGCTTCAATAATGCTCCAACATCTAACAATAGTTAGCAAAGTACAGGTTCGGGTGAATCAGGCTAATCTAAGACCTGGATGCGGTTGTATAGTAAATATTTTTTTAACTTCGACTAGCGACATTCTATGTTTATCCGATACAATTACAAGCAGTCACGATTAAAATTGAAGCAGAAATCACTGGTAATAAATGACGTTTAATATTTACTAACCAACGGAAGATGCCCTTCATTATTGATGGTGATGCCCTGTTAGAATTTCCTCTCACTACTATACATAAATGCTATTCATTGTCGATTCTTGGCGTTCGTCGTTCTTAATTAGTGGTAGGTTTCGCAGTACAGATCTATATGTGAACGAGTCTGAGGTACGGGGGATAATTTTGGTCGAAAAACGGAGCTTATTTTGCTTCTACTGAAATTGTGAACCTGTTAAACAAAACGGATTAGACTTAAATGTATTATCTTTGGCGAATGTAACTAATTATAGATAGACCAAAGTTAAGGAAATAGAACACGCCGTAGCATAGAAGCATTTATCCCTGCAACTTGTTTTTACGTGAGATCGAATCTGAAGAAAGCCTGACCGGATAAAACGCCATTACAAAAAAGTACATATCCATATTCCAGGTTGAACGTTCTGAATTACATGAACTCGTCATGTGTAAACATGCTCTAGCCTCACGTTGATTCCTACTTGTATCTGTAATTTCACAGATGAAAATTCTTGTTAACGTCTCTAAACGCATTACACAGAAGCTTCAACTAAGAGAACAAAACATTCTGTCTGGTGCATTCTAAAATCATATACTTGAAAATATTGATACCTCAAAGTATTTTGAACAAAGATCATAGGATTCGTTAAAGTTTGGTGAAGTAAAAACTGTACATAGATAAATCAGATTTACTCATTCAAAAGGACTCGGATTGCGATCTTGTTTCACGTAATGAACTCATTCGTAAATGTCTGATATATTATTTTCCCCTCAATGACACTATGAGTTATGCTTAACGGCATATCTTGCCGTGTTCTGATAGTAAATCATACAAACTATAATTATTCACAAGATTTCGCAAACAAATACACTTCTTTGTATTTACTGCTTCATTCATTATTCTTTGCTGTCGAGAGATTTTCTGATGGTATGAAATTTTGTGTTTAAGGTACTTTTTCGTGATAAGTTTTTTTATGCCTAATTTGTATGAACTTAATAAGAATCCACGAAATAAAATGAATTCATATTATGCTACTGGTTTGCTTCAGTGCTAATGATTAGTTACGGACAATAAATCGCTCTAAAGGATTTTTAAATAAACAACATATTTGGAGTGCGTTAATGGTCAAAGACAGGAATGTTAACAGGAATGTTTTGACCTTCTAAAATATGTAGAAGTACCGACTGACAATCAATGCCTAACTTGAGTTCTGCTGTCGTGATAACTGGCTGATTGGTCACAATAAGTAATGTCGGTAGACAACAGCATATTATAGTATTTACAGTAAACAGAAAGAAGTACCAGGCGAAACCAATATTCATGGCTTGCCATTGATTGATGTGCGTTAGTTTTCCATGATAACGTGAAGGTTCGGTAAGCTGTTTGACATTCATTAATTGGTCTGTTGGCAGATGTGACTAAAACCCGGTGATACTTCATTGACCCAGGAAACTGGATTAATTTCATGAGGCTCGAATAGTTCCGATCTTGTGTGACATAAATGCATTAAGTCTGGGATATAGTAACAATAAAAGCATTGTTAGTTAACTTGTGTATTACAGAATTAAGTCACAAACGCCGTGTCAGTTAAATATTTGACACTGAGGAGGAATTAAGTGATCTGATATCCGAAACATTTTTCACGAACTATCGTTGACTAAATAATTGCTCTGCAAAGGATTCGTTTTTTTCGGTAAGGTATCAGGTCTTTTTAGCAGTGATCGATAAATCAGTATAAATGTCCGTTAATTCGCCACATGCCCACGCAAATGCACTTGCATACTGAAAAATAGCTGCGATATATTTCAATATTTGTACTGTCCTAGCCAGTTCGTTGGTGATATATAGCAAACGTATTTTATTTCAGATTATTCTGACAAAAGCAAAAGACTGGATTGTAGGCGACATCTTTGAAGAACTTCACTTTCAGACTGGTAAGAAATATAAACCTTAGGCAACAAACACCTACACTCAGGCACGCGGATCAAATGGATTATTCTTTCAGGTACCTAACATTATGATCGTGTCAAAGCGTACTCCCAAATGAGAGAGTTTGAAGATCTCGGGGTCAATCTTCAGTGAAAGTGGAGGAATGCAATATTACCAGAGAGAATAGAGGCATCTTAGTTATACTTTTGTCTGACATTATCAGAGTGACTTTGGTTGAAATTGTGTATTTGAATGCACGATAGATAGATTTGTTTACCGCATTTACTACACGCACTTGGTGGACTCCATTTATCAAAAAATTGTCTCTATGGAATCGAGATGCTTCATTTTGTTCATCAAAAGTACCATTTTACTGTGACCTACTGCAAATCAACTGAAAACCTTTGACGCACATTTATATTGGCGGAAACACTATATTTTGGGTCTAAACCTGAAACGTATAACTGTCGCCATGAGCCACTAGTCTAACAAACTATAATTATTGATTTTCTTTCACCACTCTGGATAACCAATGACTCATACTTCATTTATTTAAATTAGATGTAACCGTTAGTTTTGAAAGGTACGAATTTATGTTTCACGAAAGGACGTTATGGCTTAGTAGAGTAAAACGCAACAATATATTAGTACGTTCAGTCGTTTGGATGCCAAAAAATTGGTAGATCGCTGATCTGTAGTTTATTCTAGTCTCAAATGCTATCATTTTCTTTCAAATGCGCATGAAGAGCAATAGATGCCATTTTTCATCAATAATTTGATACAATAAGACACGACAAGCCAGCCGAGGTCGGTTTCTATATAATACTGGTTTCTATCAGTACGACAAGAAAACCGTTTCTACTCTCTTCTGGAAATCGATAGGTCTTCAGTTGTTAGAAACAGGAAGTCTGAGTACGAAAATCAAGTTGATTTAGAAAGTGAGAGTCCGATTATCCATCTGACACACAGAGAAACCATTACTTGAGATAGATGGATCGCTTTTAAAATGTGAGAGACAAGAAGGAAAACCCAAGTTGATGCAGAAATGAAATAAATCAAGATAATGCCAGCCAAGCAGCATAAATAAACAGGAAACTTATGGAACAAGAGAAAATGAGACAAACATTTTTCCAGATTTTTAATGGAGAATAGCTCAAGGTTGATGTTGAACACAGGAAGATCAAGAAAGTTCGCGGGAAGCGATCGCGGGCTGTCTGTTATTCACTCACTGGAGAGAAACGGATCATTAAGAATATTTAGAAAGATATCTGAAAGTAACTGTGGGCGTGTATCGTGCTGTTCAACTCTACATGTGCTTATAAAAAAGCACTCTTTTGTTATGAACTAAACTTCATCAACATCCATACTTTTGTGAGTTTCGAATTACATATTATTGGTTAAACTGTTCACACATGCACTCGATTGACTGATCATTGATACCATCTCCTTTTTCTGTTTAAAACATTTAGACTATAATAACTTTTACGTTTTCATTCAAAATAATAAGTGAAGATTCCAGTACTGTCATCGGAAAAATGCAGATCGGTAGACCAGTGAGATCAGATAATATTTCAGCAGAGTCACTGAGAGCAGAACTAACAGTGACCGTGGATGTAGTCTAACTGCTCTTCAACAATTAGTCAGGATTAAAATTAAGTATCAGCACATCGTAAACAAAGACAGCTCATCAAGATACCAAAGAAATTCCATCTTACTTCACTGTTCATATCAGGAATAGTCTTCAACGTGCTGTTTATAAACAGAATGAAAGAATTTGTAAGCCTACACGAAAGTTACTGATTATTTTGGCCGTTCTGATTCACGCGGGTTTATAGCAAACTCAATCCACCGTCAAACCTTGAGTCAGATATCGTTCCACTTAAAGCCCTCGAAATCTCATCATTTCAACCCCTGCACTCTTTCCACTTCCGTATACTCCAAATATCAACATGACCATAACGATTACTTCATAATCAGTTCAGTGTTATCCATTCCCTTCAAAAGTATTCATAAATTCATAAGTTACCAATATCATTAACTATTTTATTTTTCACATATTTTTTGACTGCCAATATAAATTATTATCAAAATATCTCACAGGTTACGTCATTTATCAACAGAAACAATATCCTGAACTACATGACTGCGATAAATTTTCCATTCTCGATAAGTATTCAATTTTGATTCCAACTCTTCAATACTAGGAAATGGTTGAACCTGCTCAATGGATAAAAATGTTTATATTTAAAGATTGAAATATCTGAAAAGATATTCAAACAAAAGTCAAATAAAGTAAGCCTACTTTGGCGTGGTATGAAAACAAGTTTTGCTAAGTGTCAACATCATAAGCAAGTGATGATTATTTGTTATAATCACAATAAACGTTCGTATAGAGCTGTAACTTTCCCAAAACTTACTTCAGACACTCAAACCTATGACAGTCAATGACGCATTACTTACTTTGGATCGTAACCAATTTAGAAAGTTCGTTGGACAATGTTCAATGAAGAATTTCTTATTAATTGCTACACATTCGGCTCCATCCGACACTAGTGAAACAGATGTTGTACCACCGAACGGTTCAAATGCAATCGATTCCAAGCCCTAATAAAAAAATCAGTTATTTTGAAAGTAAATTACATTTTATTAAAGTTAAGTTAATTTTAATATATCAATGGTATACACATTGTTAGAATCATCCAAATAGATCACAGGACAAACACTCATTTGAAATTTACTGGTCCGAAAGTGAAGAGAAAGATAACAGAACACATTTTACTGAGAGTTGTAGATAAACATGAAAAGAATGAACAGTTGGTGGACAGAAGTGGGATCGAACGCCTCGCAAAAGGTGAGTTGTGAAGTGCTGGTCAGCGGCTGATTCTGCAACTTGAGATGTTTCAATAATATATAGCGAAATTAATATAATAATGTTCAAATCGTCTGAATACTCAAAATGACCAAGCATATAAAGTTCAAAATAAAACCAAACATCATACATCTAGATGAGAATATAAACTCACGAATAACTAAGAAAAATTTACTGGTAAACTCAAAATATTGAAAATCAATGGATTTAACAACAAATGCACTTACAAATACACTATTTGGTTCCAATATTTTCAATTCTATAAATATTTTTACATTTTTACTTTCAGATTGTTTATTTGACTGTTGAGAATTCAACAACTGGAAGAGAAGAGGAACACAATGATCAAACACATACATGTAATCCTAATTGCAGTGATACACTAACGCCTGTTAATCCTCATGAAATATAGCGCGCCACTCAGAGAATTAATTAACGAGTTGAATTCCTATAAGATCGGTTCTCTGTTAAATTTTAGGAAACGGACATGATTCTTTACTTTGATATTTTTGTTTTTAATTCGAGATAAAAAGAACATACTGACCAATCCGTTGAGTGAAACTTAAAGGTATATGTGTTCGTCAGTAAATTCATCCATTTCGTTACATGATATGTGCACGTATAACTCTATCTTCAGTATTCACTACCAAACCTTCCATAAGATTGACGACAACAACATAACTTCAGAAAAGGAATTATTGTGTAAAAATTGTTTTCGTGCACCCACCTATCAAAATTCAATATAAATGGGCAACCAATCATGTGATAAGTGATTATTGCATATAATAACATTATTTTGAAGTAGGATGCTGAATAAACATGCAACGTTCATTTAATTTGATTTCAGCATCTCACAACTTGATATTGACATAAGTATATATCTTGTGCTGGCCAATGTCCCATCAGTTTTATGGAGGTCGGTACACGATGTTTGCTTAGATAAGCTATTTTGCTCATTTGGTTGACATTAACTAGACAACGCATAACGATGTATATGTCAAAAGACTTAATAAAACCTTAAATATGCTTATTGTAGTACAACAAATAGACTTCCAAACCCACAAGCAAATTTGCGTGTGGAATCGGGCGAACGAGTGAGTAAATGAGTAAATTTGCGTGTTAGATAATTAAAAATTATTATCAAAATCTACATACAGAAAATGAATGAGTCATTGAGTAAATTAGGAGGCCAGTATAAAAACGAATTGAATGAATATGCATGTAGATGGTAAGCATTGTACAGTCATACCAGCTCATAAAAGAGCGACAATGATAAGAGCACAAATTTACAGTGAAATTATGTCCATGCGATATACTTGTCGATTGAGATGCACGAACTAACGCTGGTTCACCTAAGAGAGCGAAGACACGATGGGCTGCAGTAACCCTAGCGTGCCAAGCTTCTACTAGCATTATCAAAAAGTCTTGTTATGATTTCAAAAATGTTTCAACATTCAACCAGAAAACCAAGGTTTTGTACTGGAGAAGAAGGAGAGCATAAAACGTGACATAAAATGCATATTTATACTATTAGGTTGATCTTGAATACCAACCAATACGAAACAACATAAAAAGTCTGTAAACTCGATAATTTAGGAAGACCTTAAATACTGAGCAACAGGATTTGACGATTTGAATTGAACTTACAAAATTATTTCATTAGGGTATTCAATGAATATCCGAATATTGTGCAAATGACTCACTTGAATAAGTAAATCAAAAAGGCTGACGAAATTATTTGTGAAAATACTCAAACGTTTATGTAAGAACTATAATCTCTCAATGCTTGAAGTGAAATTCTAAGTGACATTTGGGCTTTCAAATGGCAAATATATGATATATAGTACTTTTATTTAGACGGATGAGAGAATACATAGCTTAACAAAGCAAAGTGAAGAAGACCGATGATGCAGCTGGATGTAGCTGGATGTGCGATAAGCAACGAAGGCGTGCGAGAACCTTTTCAGATAAATACAATCCAGGTATGAACGTATAATACATAAAATGCAAATATATACCAATATACTTCGAGATGGAAAAGTTCATCAATTTGTTCGAAAGTTAGGACAGGCTGTGTGAGCTAAACACGTAGTGACATGCACAACAAAATCTGAGTTACTTACAAAAACCATCTTTCTTCCAAAACGAAATCAAAATTCACATCAATAAAACTTATTATTAAACAATACAGACAAATTTCTAGTAAACAATTAAAATGTTTTTAAAAATTCGTTCTTATATCACACTGTTCTCTGCAAAAAAATTAATGAACAATTAAGGCTTCAAATTGCTAAGTATGTATAGAAATTTTCAGACGAACATAAATCTTCACTTTCTGAACAATAAGTTCCACTCATTAAAAATGTTTCATACTTTCTGGGATTTTCACTGATTTCCTGGGATTCATGCAACAGAAAGGCAACACTGAACATTCATTCGAAACTTCAAAATGTTTTTAAGTAGTGTTAGACGAAAAGTTTGCTAAAGAATACTTTTATTGTCATAATTTCTAACTCCACAAAAAACACAATAATAATATGTTTATTCTCAAACAACCACGTTACAAGAGTCACTCCAGTTTACAGGATAAATCGAATTGACACAAATGATTTCACATTCATCATACCAGTCGAATAAAATAAGCAAAACAATAAACTTGTAAAATTCAAACTTCCCCACTGAAAACAAATATGTAGTATAGATGTCATATGGAAGAAGGTGAAATTGAAAAATATGGACTTAGAAATCCAGAAATAAAGATCAATTTGATCTAAGTATAATTTATATTATACATAGAACGAAACCATAGACACACAATTACTACTATATCATAATCCGCAGTTTCATTATCTAACATCATATGTCTTAAGTAAAATGATAGTGATATCCTAATTTAGTTCAACTGTGCAAAGCAACACAAATTTCACAAAACTATCATACGCTTGCGGGATTGAAATCAAAACTAAAACGGTACATCATTCAATGTGGATGATCAAAAATGAGAATACATCAAAATCAGGCAACAAATTTATTTCGTTACCATATCTTTTTCATCGTCTTATTATCAAGAAACTTACTTTCGGTTTTCTAGGTTGACAAGATGAATGAAAGTGAAATTGGAAACCAGTTTCAGGTCTGTGCTTTTTAACTGTTGATTTTATGATGTCTTTCGGTTTTAACTCAACATCTTTAAGAATCCGACATTGTCCTGTTTTTACTATATAAATCCAATTACTTTTATTACTGTCAATACATATGGTTACATTACGTCTGTAATAGAGGAACACAATGAGATGAAACAAACTATCATGAAATTTGTGAAAGTAATTTATGACCAAAGAGAAAACCGTCTTTTTGCATTTTATACTTTTGAATTAACCGAAAGTCACTAAGCGATTATTATTTTTCTTTCTTCAATATATGCTCGTGATACCGTATACGAATTATCGAAATTAACCGTACCGGCACAAAAAGAATTAGAGCTAACACGTTTGATAAATGTCAATCAGCATGTTATGTACGTCACAAGGGTTATTAGTTAAGTGGCCTTTAGCCTTTCTCGAGTTACTGCCAGCTCTAAACATGGATAAAGTAATATGGTTGGTCACGGGATTACCGATCGTGCCATGCGTGAAAGTAATTCGCTGAAAATTGTTATCTAGATACAAATCGGTGTCTTGTGTTCAACTAGAGGGTTACAAGCGTAAGTAGAAATATAAGGTATTTTTATCTTACTTTTAGTTGTTTGTGTGAAGGTGGCTGTTCTCTACTGAATGACCCGTAACTAACTGTAATTGTACTTATTATGTATTGTTGATTGGGATCATTTGTTTATTCTATCTATAAAAAATTCCTTTTACTGGTTAAAAGGGCAGCATTCTCCTTTATTTTTCATGCATTCTGCGTAAAATTCCAGTATACTGCTACAAATTTCTGAACATTATGAGCTGGGATAGATGACATTTAGAAGTGGAAAAAAAGACACTCGGTTCTTCCTATTTGGAACCCTTTAGGCACCAGGTACTTGGATAAGACAAATGAGTTCAATTTGGACCTCTTTTAGTTTAAGTCGCTGAAGGAACATTATCTTCCAGACGCAAGTACAGATTAGGTAAATCTATTTCATGCGATTCGCAGAATAATAACATTGAATTCTCATATTGCACCACTGATATTCGTTATATGTCCTTGTCACGTAACTGCAGTATCTCGTCCAGAATGAATGAGAAAAGGTCCCACATGGAGGATGTCGAATCCACCTTAAACTAGTATTTGGGTAAAAAATTCAAACCAGTAAATGTCGTTTAAATAACCGTAACTTAAGATCTGAGATTCCAGCAGCAGTAAAACCGGATGGTTGCTACATTTACTGGTGGAGGTCAAAAATCATTAATAATCACTGGGGTGATGTCATTTGTAACAATATGCGTAACATGAAATATTCAAACTTATTAACTGACATAAACATGGCTGACTCAATCCCTTTCCATAAGACTACTGTATAGGCATATATGCAATTTGATTGACTGTTCACGTAAACGAATGAAAACACAGGATGATTTGACTTAGAAAAACCTAACTTCGTATTGAAAAACTGATTAAACAAACCATTCGTATTATTGAAGAAAACTTTGACATATTCCTGATTATTTCATTATGTTATTAAAAAGAAAAAACAAATTTAATCGATATTAAAAATATAACAAACAGTTCGCTGAGATGTTTCAACACTTATTGTATCATTTTCACATGATTAAGATTGACAAGTTAGTCAGTTAGTCAATCTGCAACGACAAGAAACTTCCCACGGTACGTACATTGGTTGAAGATGCTAAAACTAAGTAAACAAACCATTCGTATTATCAAAGAAAATTACATCATATTACTGATTATTTCATTATATTGATGAAAGTAAAAAGCGAATATTGTGGTGTGCGCTACTTATGTTCACACAAGTAGTATATGATATCAAATGGAAATCAAACGTCTGACATCAAAACAACGAGAAGGAAAGAATAAAACAGAAGGCGATTTGTAGGTAACGTAAAGTGAAGTGAAGTCTGAACAGTCTAAATGAAAGAACACTGAAATCTGAAACAAATAATGATTAGTTTGAAAATGGTGATTCACGGGAAGGTTTTGTACATATGCCTAACAACTCTGTAATATTCGCTAAAATATATTTTGTTGAAGCCCTCACCTGGGTTTTCGTGCACAACAATATGATCGATAATAGGGTGGTGGAGAAAATTCGTAGCTAAGGTAGATGATTGTTGTGGTGTTTGGTTCTGTGAGCTGGATGTTTTGATTTACGGAGCTTTCATTGTTCTTCTGAACAACATCATCCGCACAAACCTCAAATAGATGTGAGGCATTCGAATTTCTTCACATTTGACCTGTAGGTTTTTATGCAAACGTCGGACTTGATTGTTTGCGGTTGACCTTCAGTATGTCGTTGTTTTTGCTTATTTCTTTAATTGTATCACCTTTTTGATGTGTTTCTTGATCTCAAGGCATCTATGATTTTCCTGATTGGTTCGTAAATTTGGTCGATGTCGATGCGATTTTTGATAGCTGATTCACCTAAAAGCTAAGCTTCTAAAAATCTAAAGTAGTCTTTGTCCTCCCACTACTCGGTATTTCCACATTGTTTCGAAAGAATTTGTGCCCATAATTGTCGGTGTGTATTGGTATAAGCTAAGCGTTGTCGTGGCGTTCGACTGCTGATTGCTGTACACGTGTAGATGACATCCACTTTGTCATATGTAGTGTTATTCACATGTGGAGCAATTTATTTTGTAGATGATATCTGTGTTTCCGTCATATGTCATTTCGTCCTTTTGTCTACATAGGATTAATTGAAGTGATTCTGTTGGTCAGTGCGCCACATCTACTCCAAATGGTTTCCGTAGTCCAGCTGTATGCTCCGACAAATCTTTTATGTATGTTAGGATGCTGCTGTTGTTAGATAAACCGAAAAATGCAGCGCAGAGAACCAAACATTACTACAATGATCGAGATTAGAATTATAAGATATTTTATCAATTATTGTATCATTTTTATATGGTCATGTTTCACAATATAACCAGTCAGTCCGTCTGCAACAACGTGGAATTTTCTACGGAAAATCAGAATCACAAAAACTGAATTCTCATTTAAATACTCAAACACACAGAGACTGTGGAACTTTTGTCGATTCGGAATTATGATTGGAAATGTATAATCTAGTGAAATAAATTAAATCAGTGAGAACAAACCTCATGCTAATCTTACAAGTTTGTAATTCGAAAGAGCACAAGGAATGTATGCACATACATATTTGAGAACGATTTTGAACGATGTCATTCAAAATCGTCGAACATACAGTTACAATTCTTTCGCAGACAAAAACCAAGTATTCAACAGAGTTCAGCTGTCCGTTTCATGTCCGTATCATCTGATCATTTGACCGCACTTTGCTCTTATTCTGCTGAATTCATAAATTTACAAACCTACGTCAGAAAACAAGTAAAGCCTACTCTTAAATCTACCAGATAATTTATTGACTGATTTTGAAAAGTTACTTACCGAAAATATGTGAACAATAAAACTGAACCATCAGCATTGGATAAGTGATTTAAAACTTGTTTTGGTATCAGTGGTATGGTGCGTAAAAATGTGATATGTTCAGCTTCTTTGTTTTCTGTATTTTTCAGAAATATTTTGTTGAATTCATGCTGTGACATGACTAATAATTCTACATTTGTTTTGCAAATAATTGTCGCACTTCGTTTACCGCCGTAAATTAAAGCTAATTCCTATAGAATAAATGACAACGATAATAATCAATATGATATTTGTCTATATAAATAATTAGTTATTCGAACATGAAAAGCATATATGTACGTATATTCATCAGGCACACAAGTGATAAAATCGATTGATTAACTCAGAATCTGTTTTTGTGCTGCTCAATTGTCTGCCGTAGGCTCAAACGTAGAAAAATTTGCTCTTCCTCTTATAATGGTTTCATCTTGCTTTGCATTCACAGCCACCGCAACAAAAATCATCTGCGCCGCTTCCTCTTCGCATAGATGCTTGGGAAATTAGGTAGACGAAAAGCCAAAAAAAATTGGGGCCTAAATCCAGGTCTCAGTCAAGGTGAACTCAGCCGAAAGATATATAAAACACCGAGTAGCTCGTGAATATAAATACATGAGTCTGTTTTACTGAACTGAACTAGATATCTTTCTTAGGTGACCATTTCTTTAGTACTCGACCTACATGTTTACCTGACGATGTTACGAGGCAATGTTAAGATGTGTTGTCCTCAGGTAGCTGCTGATCTTCATCGTCCTAAATTGATCACCTCTCATTGTCTGTACACGCGTGAGCGCATGAAAAACTTTTGAAAATTATAATAGTAGTAGATATAAACTGGAAATTATGGTTCAATGAAAAGTTCCGCTCAAGTATGCCAAGCATCTTCGTGGGTGACAGCTGTAATTTATTAAGTGCTCAAGTAAGTTATTCAGTGTATGAGCAAATGTTGGTTGACTTACTCCAAAACTTTGTCCAGCTTTTAAAAATGCTACAGTTTCTTCATAAATTTCTCCGGTTTGTTTTTCTTTTCTTGATACACTAACAACCACTGAAAAATTGAGAAAAAAAAGAAACGCGAATTATAAACTGACTAGTAATTCAAAACGAAATAATGTTGTATCTATTAGACCGAAAACTATTTTTCTGGCGAAGTTTAAAATCTAGATGAAGAATTGTTGTGTCATAGATAGAACTGGTGAACGATTCAGTATAGTTTACGCTTCACAGATATGCACCAGTGTAAGTATCTAATATCCAAAGTAGATAAGAGTTATTTGTTCACAGAATATCATCAGAAAAAAGGCAATGCTGATCTTATTTCTAAATGAAAATGATACATAAGTATTTCCGTTTCATAGTATGATTGACATTTTTCAACATTATGAATAATATCAGCCTAATTGCAGTTGCGATTCCGTTCATGTACTTATATTTCTAGACACCACCGACTACACTGCATGTTTTTCTAGCAAAATACCAACTTCTAGCTTCTCTGGGATTACTATTGACCTCAAGATCAGATAAGGCCTGACGACTGAGTCAAGTTTAATCGTCCCTATTGCCCGTAATACCAACAAGTTAAAGAGTGTCAGTCAAATTATAATAGAATTCGCAAACAATTTTCATCAAGTTTGCCTTTGACCTTAACGCTTTTTATCCAACGAATGTATATATGATAGTTCTATGTGGTTCGTTAACTCGTTACAAGGTTGCTTATTATTTTTGTTTAGACTCGAAAATCAAATTTAACCTTATTTACGAGAGGTGTTTAGTCAGGTCATATGGTTATTTGACAAAGCATATTTTATTTTTTATTATACGGAATAATTTTAAAGTTTGGAAAATTTTATTATCACACTTTGAGGTCAGATCGACATCAACACTACAATCTTATCACGCAGATCATAAACCAGATTACAGAAGACGATATCAAAAATGGCACTGGAGGTGTAAAGGACTCATACTGAGGAAATCATTTAAGTGCAGCACACGACAAGCGCCCACTCGGAATCATTAAGGTCAAAAGAGGGGAGAAAATTCCAAGAAAACTTTAGGCCGAAAATAGTAGTCAGACAAGAGAATAATGAACATCACATAGATAAGGCTTCAAATGAAGAGTTAAGTACATTGCAGGTTAAAGAACGCTGGTCAGTGGAAAACGACATTTTTCATTTTACATTCTCTACGAACTTTTAATGAGGTTCATCATATACACGTTAGTGACGTACTTCGATTAGACATTATCCGAGTTCTAGTTAAAAGGACTGATCAGTAGAGTTCCTTAATATCATGTGTCAACCGAATACCATAGGAAGACAGTGGGTGGGATTGCTCAGTATCAGGGAGTGAAAAAAGTTTCATGATAACATGGATGTACGCCTGCTCAGTAATATTGAGGCAATATTTCTAGTTTGATGACTGCGGATATGTAGTGCGAACGAATCGGAACACCTTTCTGGTACTAACAGCTTTCTTATGGTGATCCAACTTACATCGACTGATAATTTGGATTCATTGATATTCAGTAATGCTAATGAGCGAACTGTTTCAGTTTATGAATATTTTGTTTGACATGTCGAAATAACGACACTGATACACAAGCATTATCGACAGACTTTAATTACAACTCGCAGTGTGCGTACGTGGATTATATTTCATCAAAACTTACCAGAACCTGAAATGATGAAGTAGAAATTCAATGGTGGTTGACCTTGTCGAATAATCATTCGTCTAGCTTCATATCTGGAAAACGAAAATAGATGAGCAGTTTGTATTTTTTGTGGTTTTTACCATGTGTGAAAAGAAATGGTGTCAGCGTTCGTGCGTGAAGCTGAAATACATAGTCTCATTTCACGTTTGCAAAGTCGTAGATGAGCATTATAATTTAATTTGTCTACTGAGATCAAGCAGTAACCCATTGTTTTCACGCTTTTGATTTTGGTTAGCTTAGATCAATCCTTCTTAGAGCCCCTCTAGTATTACGTTTCGCTCCAAGCGTAGAAAGGAAAAGAAAGACAGTTCGATGCAGCACAGCATGCATGTACCGAAAGAAATTTGAGGATTTATTAAATATGGAGAATGGCATTTCTACATATTTATAGCTCACAACGACTGTATACCAACAGAAACGTTAGGCACAATTCTCAATACAAATGTCCGAAGAACGCATTACATCGAGCACTGAAGTAAGTCATGTAAAGAATAAGGAGCTTACAAAAAAGTCATCAGTTGAAGTAGTTTGAACACTGCTGGTCTGCAGACTTTGATCTACTGTGTGCAACAAACTAAATAAAGGTGATGAATATCATCATTTTGATTGATTCTAGAGTAAATAGATTACAAGGAATTGTCTGATTCCATCTACCTTAAAGTTACGAGTAACTCATCAGCTGAACATGCATGATTTACAATTCTAAGCTTGCTAATATTTATGTTTCCGAGTCTCCCATTTGTTACGTCTTCATAAAAAGTACATTTGCTTGAATTGTCTTATTCACATAATGTAGGTCTAATAATGTCTTCAGCATTCAAATGGTTTTGCGAGGAATAGGCTATCAAAAATAAGTCCATTTTAAACGCAGAGGTTGCTCAAAGATTCAGATACTAAGTGCGATTCTTCTCCTCCGACATATTATTGAGCAGTCTTTTAAGTCTTTAAAAACAAAAAAGAAAGATGTATAAATTCATGCATTGTGAACTGATGAATCGTGCAGCATTAGAGCGTCATGGATTCTGTTGTGATTAACATTGTCTGTTTCTATTTATTGTATGAACCAACTTCATACAATTGTACAAAACTAGCAAATATGTTGTGATTAAAGACATCAGTCAAAGGTCAATAGTCGATGTGGTAATAACTGAGACTTTGGAGGAAGTCATTTGTGACCTCTTTAACTCAGTCGTTACAACCCTGTTGCGACATTGCTTGATAGGAGTCAAACTTCGGGTTAGTGAATAATACTTCAAAGATTAGACAGATTACATCTGCCATTTCAAAGTTTCAATCCACCTTATTCACTGGTTGACTGGTTACCCTTAACATACAGTCTACTGAAAGAGTAATTAAAGAAAACGCAAACGTGTATTCACTTAATCAGCCTTCAATTAATTATTCTCATGGAGGCCGGTTTGAATATTACATCCATCAATTTCGTATCAACATCAAAATATTTTTACAGGTTGCGTTTGGTTTCAAACTGCTTTTTCACCAATCTGACAATCTTTTCGAGCATGTATACTAGGAAATAACTGACTTTCAGTGCTCACAGGTTTTTGATGATCGTCTAACAATGAACAGTCCATCATTTCAATGAAAATCTAGACAAACTTTATCAACACCTAATTTAATATTATTCATGAAATTCAACATACTTTTCATACCATGCTTTTTCTATAATGGCTTTTTGCATAGCAATCGGAAATTCACTGAATGCTTCAATAGTTGTAATTACAGCTACTGTTGCTGAATGAATCATTGATTCAGTACGATACTTGCATGGTAATGTGAGTATTTTTATTGCATCATATGTAAGACATTTTTCACGATTTATCTAAAGAGTATCAAAAGAAAATAGAAATATTATTGTTATAATATTACGAAAAGTAAAAATCCAAAATGAACTAGAATGAAAATTAACCAATATGAAAGTAAGATAAAAATGAATTATTGTTAGAACGTCGTTAGATGCCTAGAAATTACTGATCAGCGATATGGTTACAAAATAGATCTCTTCAATAATGCACATTTATAACCATAAGCTCAAAGATCAGTATCAAATCTTACAGTTTCGTGCAGAGATATAATTCATTGAGGATTATTTGTAGGTACAATCAACACAGTATATTGTCCGATCACCTCGCATTATCTTTGACGAATAAACAAATCACATATAATCCGAAGAACCACACTGATTATGACTACTTAGTGTAAATTCGTAAACTTGATTACTGGATATACTGAGGCTACTCTAGCATTTTGCAAGAATTCAATGAGCTGGAATGAAGAAACTATTAGTTAACAAATTTTGTTTGATTAATAAACAAAATAGGTACAAATTCAAACGTCTCACTCACCTTATAAGCATATTTATCAAAACCTAAATTTTCAGAATGAAATTTTGCTTCAATATCCTTTTGTAATTCAACAAATGTTTGTACATTTTTACCACGTAGTTTGGCATTTTTCAATTCTTGTAATGGCCTTACGAAAAAAAACATTGTGTACAATGAATTATAAATTTCCTCTTTGCTTTAAGATAAAGCTGTTTATTATTAATGTAATCGATCAATGAATCCTAGTAATGAAGTGTTTATTTAGAGTTAAACTCAGTAATTATAATGTATTTTTATCAGGTATTAGGATAATTATATTTATAACTTGCGGAGATGAACGTCTTGTTTTCGTGTCTTCTAAAATCTAACATAATCAATAAGAGAGACTATCAATGCCTTACATATGCTCACTCAATTGTATATATTTAGAAATAATATGTATTATATGTATATGACCGAAACCAACGTCAAAAGTAATCATCAGATCGATGTGACGCTTTTTACTCGATGTCAACCAAAACGGAAGATGTTTCAAAATACCTAGATACATTTGTCGATTGATGTATCAAATATAATCAGCTTCTCAGGAACAGTTTACAGGAAGCGGCGCAGATGATTTTTGTTGCGGTGGCTGTGAATGCAAAGCAAGATGAAACCATTATATGAGGAAGAGCAAATTTTTCTACGTTTGAGCCTACGGCAGACAATTGAGCAGCACAAAAGCGAATTCTGAGTTAATCAATCGATTTTATCACTTGTGTGCCTGATGAATATACGTACATATATGCTTTTCATGTTCGAATAACTAATTATTTATATAGACAAATATCATATTGATTATTATCGTTGTCATTTATTCTGTAGGAATTAGCTTTAATTTACGGCGGTAAACGAAGTGCGACAATTATTTGCAAAACAAATGTGGAATTATTAGTCATGTCACAGCATGAATTCAACAAAATATTTCTGAAGAATACAGAAAACAAAGAAGCTGAACATATCACATTTTTACGCACCATACCACTGATACCAAAACAAGTTTTAAATCACTTATCCAATGCTGATGGTTCAGTTTTATTGTTCACATATTTTCGGTAAGTAACTTTTCAAAATCAGTCAATAAATTATCTGGTAGATTTAAGAGTAGGCTTTACTTGTTTTCTGACGTAGGTTCGTAAATTTATGAATTCAGCAGAATAAGAGCAAAGTGCGGTCAAATGATCAGATGATACGGACATGAAACGGACAGCTGAACTCTGTTGAATACTTGGTTTTTGTCTGCGAAAGAATTGTAATTGTATGTTTGACGATTTTGAATGACATCGTTCAAAATCGTTCTCAAATATGTATGTGCATACATTCCTTGTGCTCTTTCGAATTACAAACTTGTAAGATTAGCATGAGGTTTGTTCTCACTGATTTAATTTATTTCACTAGATTATACATTTTCAACCATAATTCCGAATCGACAAAAGTTCCACAGTCTCTGTGTGTTTGAGTATTTAAATGAGAATTCAGTTTTTGTGATTCTGATTTTCCGTAGAAAATTCCACGTTGTTGCAGACGGACTGACTGGTTATATTGTGAAACATGACCATATAAAAATGATACAATAATTGATAAAATATCTTATAATTCTAATCTCGATCATTGTAGTAATGTTTGGTTCTCTGCGCTGCATTTTTCGGTTTATCTAACAACAGCAGCATCCTAACATACATAAAAGATTTGTGGGAGCATACAGCTGGACTACGGAAACCATTTGGAGTAGATGTGGCGCACTGACCAACAGAATCACTTCAATTAATCCTATGTAGACCAAAGGACGAAATGACATATGACGGAAACACAAATATCATCTACAAAATAAATTGCTCCACATGTGAATAACACTACATATGACAAAGTGGATGTCATCTACACGTGTACAGCAATCAGCAGTCGAACGCCACGACAACGCTTAGCTTATACCAATACACACCGACAATTATGGGCACAAATTCTTTCGAAACAATGTGGAAATACCGAGTAGTGGGAGGACAAAGACTACTTTAGATTTTTAGAAGCTAAGCTTTTAGGTGAATCAGCTATCAAAAATCGCATCGACATCGATCAAATTTACGAATCAATCAGGAAAATCATAGATGCCTTGAGATCAAGAAACACATCAAAAAGGTGATACAATTAAAGAAATAGGCAAAAACAACGACATACTTAAGGTCAACCGCAAACAATCAAGTCCGACGTTTGCAGAAAAACCTACAGGTCAAATGTGAAGAAATTCGAATGCCTCACATCTATTTGAGGTTTGTGCGGATGATGTTGTTCAGAAGAACAATGAAAGCTCCGTAAATCAAAACATACAGCTCACAGAACCAAACACCACAACAATCATCTAACTTAGCTACGAATTTTCTCCACCACCCTATTATCGATCATATTGTTGTGCACGAAAACCCAGGTGAGGGCTTCAACAAAATATATTTTAGCGAATATTACAGAGTTGTTAGGCATATGTACATAACCTTCCCGTGAATCACCATTTTCAAACTAATCATTATTTGTTTCAGATTTCAGTGTTCTTTCATTTAGACTGTTCAGACTTCACTTCACTTTACGTTACCTACAAATCGCCTTCTGTTTCATTCTTTCCTTCGCGATGTTTTGATGTCAGACGTTTGATTTCCATTTGATATCATATACTACTTATGTGAACATAAGTAGCGCACACCACAATATTCGCTTTTTACTTTCATCAATATAATGAAATAATCAGTAATATGATGTAATTTTCTTTGATAATACGAATGGTTTGTTTACTTAGTTTTAGCATCTTCAACCGATGTACGTACCGTGGGAAGTTTCTTGTCGTTGCAGATTGACTAACTGACTAACTTGTAAACCTTCATCATGTGAAAATGATACAATAAGTGTTGAAACATCTCAGCGAACTGTTTGTTATATTTTTAATATCGATTAAATTTGTTTTCTCTTTTTAATAACATAATGAAATAATCAGGAATATGTCAAAGTTTTCTTCAATAATACGAATGGTTTGTTTAATCAGTTTTTCAATACGAAGTTAGGTTTTTCTAAGTCAAATCATCCTGTGTTTTCATTCGTTTACGTGAAGAGTCAATCAAATTGCATATATGCCTATACAGTAGTCTTATGGAAAGGGATTGAGTCAGCCATGTTTATGTCAGTTAATAAGTTTGAATATTTCATGTTACGCATATTGTTACAAATGACATCACCCCAGTGATTATTAATGATTTTTGACTTCCACCAGTAAATGTAGCAACCATCCGGTTTTACTGCTGCTGGAATCTCAGATCTTAAGTTACGGTTATTTAAACGACTTTTACTGGTTGGAATTTTTTACCCAAATACTAGTTTAAGGTGGATTCGACATCCTCCATGTGGGACCTTTTCTCATTCATTCTGGACGAGATACTGCAGTTACGTGAAAAGGACATATAACGAATATCAGTGGTGCAATATGAAAATTCAATGTTATTATTCTGCGAATCGCATGAAATAGATTTACCTAATCTGTACTTGCGTCTGGAAGATAATGTTCCTTCAGCGACTTAAACTAAAAGAGGTCCAAATTGAACTCATTTGTCTTATCCAAGTACCTGGTGCCTAAAGGGTTCCAAATAGGAAGAACCAAGTGTCTTTTGTTCCACTTCTAAATGTCATCTATCCCAGCTCATAATGTTCAGAAATTTGTAGCAGTATACTGGAATTTTACGCAGAATGCATGAAAAATAAAGGAGAATGCTGCCCTTTTAACCAGTAAAAGGAATTTTTTATAGATAGAATAAACAAATGATCCCAATCAACAATACATAATAAGTACAATTACAGTTAGTTACGGGTCATTCAGTAGAGAACAGCCACCTTCACACAAACAACTAAAAGTAAGATAAAAATACCTTATATTTCTACTTACGCTTGTAACCCTCTAGTTGAACACAAGACACCGATTTGTATCTAGATAACAATTTTCAGCGAATTACTTTCACGCATGGCACGATCGGTAATCCCGTGACCAACCATATTACTTTATCCATGTTTAGAGCTGGCAGTAACTCGAGAAAGGCTAAAGGCCACTTAACTAATAACCCTTGTGACGTACATAACATGCTGATTGACATTTATCAAACCTGTTAGCTCTAATTCTTTTTGTGCCGGTACGGTTAATTTCGATAATTCGTATACGGTATCACGAGCATATATTGAAGAAAGAAAAATAATAATCGCTTAGTGACTTTCGGTCAATTCAAAAGTATAAAATGCAAAAAAACGGTTTTCTCTTTGGTCATAAATTACTTTCACAAATTTCATGATAGTTTGTTTCATCTCATTGTGTTCCTCTATTACAGACGTAATGTAACCATATGTATTGACAGTAATAAAAGTAATTGGATTTATATAGTAAAAACAGGACAATGTCGGATTCTTAAAGATGTTGAGTTAAAACCGAAAGACATCATAAAATCAACAGTTAAAAAGCACAGACCTGAAACTGGTTTCCAATTTCCCTTTCATTCATCTTGTCAACCTAGAAAACCGAAAGTAATTTTCTTGATAATAAGACGATGAAAAAGATATGGTAACGAAATAAATTTGTTGCCTGATTTTGATGTATTCTCATTTTTGATCATCCACATTGAATGATGTACCGTTTTAGTTTTGATTTCAATCCCACAAGCGTATGATAGTTTTGTGAAATTTGTGTTGCTTTGCACAGTTGAACTAAATTAGGATATCACTATCATTTTACTTAAGACATATGATGTTAGATAATGAAACTGCGGATTATGATATAGTAGTAATTGTGTGTCTATGGTTTCGTTCTATGTATAATATAAATTATACTAAAATCAAATTAATCTTTATTTATGGATTTCTAAGTCCATATTTTTCAATTTCACCTTCTTCCATATGACATCTATACTACATATTTGTTTTCAGTGGGGAAGTTTGAATTTTACAAGTTTATTGTTTTGCTTATTTTATTCGACTGGTATGATGAATGTGAAATCATTTGTGTCAATTCGATTTATCCTGTAAACTGGAGTGACTCTTGTAACGTAGTTGTTTGAGAATAAACATATTATTATTATTGTGTTTTTTGTGGAGTTGGAAATTATGAC